GGACATCTTTCATTCTAATATGATTTCAAATTAGCAGAAAACAATTGCACGGATGATGCTAAGAACTGCTGTACACCCAGGTTCATCAGTTGGTAACTCATTCTGCATATTCCCCTGCTAGTTTTTCTGACTCATTCGAGAGTAAGTTGCAGACATGTCCTTTTATCCCTAAGTATTCAGTGTGTGTTTCCTAAGAACAAGGATGTTCTCTTGTGTAACAACTGTGCAATAATCAAACTCAGGAAATTTAGCATTGCTACCATTGTATTATCTAATCCACAGGCCGCACGCAATTTTGTCCGTTGTTCCAATAATTTCTTTCGGACTATTTTTTCCCAATTCCAGATCATCATTACATTCAGTGGTCATGTCTCTTTAGCCTCCTTTAACATGCAAGGATTGGTTCCTCAGCCGTCCTTGACCTTGACATTTCTGGAGGCCAGGCAAGTTGTTTTGTAGAAACGTCCCTCGGGTTGGATTGAGGCTTTTATTTCTGAAAGCTCATGCTGTACCACTTGCTTTAATCCTGTATGTAACCTTTAGTGGTCTCATACAGCTGGTGGTCATATCCACATTTGCAGATGAGGAAACTGAGGCATAGGGAGTGGAAGTGACTTGTCCACAGACACATTCTCACGAAGTGACAGAGCTAGAATCCAAATCTAGGACCGTCTGTCTTGAAACCTAATTTGCCTACCAGGCAATGGGAATAATGACAGCAATTAGAGCCTGAGAATAATGACATGTTTATCGTGCACTTACTTTGAGCCAGAGGTTGTGCTAAGCGTTCCATATACACTACAGGGCAGCCCTGACACCAATCCAGGAGAAGCTGCTCTTTCTATCCCTGATTTACACATGAGGACCAGAGAGGTTAGATTGACTACCCACGATGACACGGCTCCTAGCTGGTGGGGACTAGCTCTGACCCAAGCAGCCTGTGTCCTGAGCCTCTACGTGTTGCTTCGTGCTCAGGCCTGCTGGATTTCATAGAATCTGGACAAACATGGGAGCCAGGCTTTGCTGACCCCCTGGGAGAGGCACAGCAGTATCTGTTTGTGTCCTTTTCTGGGGCCTTCTCCATCCCAAAGCTGAGGCCTGTACTCAGGGGCTGCCTGGGGGAAGCAGGTCTTCCCTCTGCACCCACAGCTCCTGTAGGTGCAGTGGTCCACTCCGTGATCTATTCATCGTGGGCGGATGGTGTTTTGGTGATTTCCAGGTCAGGAATCTGCGTGCTGTTGCTCAGTCACGGCTGGCTCACTCTCTCCTGCCAAGTAGCTAAGGGCCCCTGCCTGTGGAGTGGCTGGTTCTGGCTGCCATCTGCCCACCTGTTTGGTGCCACTACCTGGGCAACATCTGGGTGGCACTCAAGGCCGGCTGTCCTGGATGATAAGGCTGCCTGGCTGGCAGTGGAACTGGTGACCATTCAATGCAGGGTGTTATACCCAGTACCTCTCCACCTTTCTAACAGAGACCTGCCTCACACGTGGGGCTGCCTCTCCTCGTTCAGGTTACCCAGCTGCTGTGCTTCCCACCTTCTGGCTGGAGAAAGATCATATGGCCCTGCCTCTTGGCTTGTAGCGAGGAGTAGATGATCTGAGACTATGACTTGCTTGGAATTCTGCCAGCAGAGAAAAAGGCAGATCCCAGGGCAGAACGTCTGAGAGGCCCTGCCCCACTTCTCCCTCTTACCTCCTGGGGGGTCTCGGGGGGCCTGGGTCTGCCTGTCCTGGGCACTCAGGCTCCTCAGACATCAGAACACAGTTGTGGGCCTCAACAGTGATCTTCCTCACTCCTGAGCAACATCAGGAATGTATTGTCAGCATCTTTAGAAAGCCCAGGTCTTGCTTGACCAGGTGCAGGGTACTTCTGTCAATCACAGAGCAGGTGAATGTCCTTCCTCGGGGACAGTGTGTCATGAGAGGAGATGGCAGGAGGGTAGGAGGGTAGTCACCTGACTCTTCAGGCCCTGGCACCTGCTACACGTCTGACCTCCTGCTCCACCTGCTCCTCCTCTTCTTCGAGGGTTGCCAGATTTCTGAGCAGGTTCCCTCACAGTGGCCAAGTGAGTCCTGTCACCCTGTGCTGGGCCAGTCTCCTTTTCCCTGGCTCGTCTCTGTGGGTGGGAAGTGACCCTACTGCCGGGCAGGTTTGGTGTTTTGAGGCTGTGCTGTCTGTCATCTTCCCACTCTGCAACGGGCTCCGAGCACCCTGGCCGGCCCAGGACTCCTGACAGCTCCTGAGAGAAGCTTAGAAATTTTAGTTCCTTAATTTCCATGGAACATTGTTCTGTGTATATGGTTTAAAACATTAATTAAAAATATGAATCAGTTTGGCTGCCTGGGCAAGAGGTTCTCTTTTCTGCAGAAGCCCAAGTTCTATGTTATTTCTGCCTCTCCACCCCGCTCCCTCGCAGAGGGAGCCGGCTTTCAAACCAGCGGGCTGGCCGAGCGTTTGCTGTTTGGGGTCAGGCAGCCTCCTTAGCTTTTCTGAGCTTTAGTTTCCACATCTGTAAGATGGGGAAGCTGGTTATATGTGTCTCCTGGCCTCCTGGGGCCAATGCATGTGTTAGACGGGGAGAGGACAGTCCTCAGTGAAGTGTCATCTATATGGTGTGCTCTTAAACGGCACTGTTGTTACGATTAATGACATTTCCCTGGCACCCTATAGTTTATAGAGCATCTCTTTGGTACACTCCCTCATGTAATCCTGGCAGCACACCTGAGGGGTGTGTTGTGTTCTAACCCACTCCTTCTCACAGGTGGATACACTGAGGAGTGGGGGGTCACAGCCAGGCTGGAGCTGAGGTTCTATGACTCAAGCCCCAGGCTGCAGCACGATCTCACTGCCTCCATTTGTTCCCTTGGCCCTGTGTGCTGAGCCCTCACACTAAGTCACTGTGGTGGGATAGGAATAGGGGAGAGCTTTTATTTCCTTTCAGAAGGAAACTAAGAAGCGAAGTCTCCAGTGTTTGCCTAAATGGTATTAATAATGGCTGACATTTCTAAATGCTTATAATGTCCTGGGCCAAGTGCTAAGCTCTGCAAAGGTTCTTACCTAACACTAAGAACAAACCTCTAAGATGAGAAACTGAGGCTCAGAGAGTTTATGTAACTTGCTCAGGCTCCTAAAAGGACTTTTTAAGTAGCAGAACTGGGATGCCAACCCAGGCAGTCTGAGAAAAGCCCACCAGCAGCTATGAGGCTGTGCTGCTGCCCCTTTTGGGTAATCAAGCGATCGCATTTTGACAATAAGGCAAAGATGCTTTCCCGGTCAAAAGGCCTGAGGAGCGTGGGAGGCTGCTCGCTGGGGAGTGCAGAGGTGCTGAGGGTGGCATCTTTCTGAGTGCATTGCTAGTCAAGGGGACTTTTCTGAGTGAGGGGGAATTCACCCTGTGCTGCTGGGAACTGGACTCTGAGCGCTGGATGGATTAATTAAAGCAACACTTAATGGGAGGAGGCAGGGACTCTCCTGGGCTTGCAGAACCGTTAGACGTCTGTTTGTGATACCAGCACATCCAAGGACTGTGACAACCAGAGTGCCTTGGAGAAGCTCATTACGGCCAAGTTGTTCCTGCAGGAGATGGGGAATTCATCCTTCCCTGGGGAATGCAGGCTACCTGCCCTCTGCTCTTGGCTGTGGGGCAAGGGTATTTCTCCAGCTGTTCTTAGAGTCAAGGGCAAATTCCCCTTCAGAACTTTTAAGAGGTATTTATACTGAGTCTGTACTGACCGAGCTTCATCTCATTCATGATTTGGCTGCCGATATGCTGAGTATTTTGGGGGGTGAGGGGCCGGAAGGAGGTCTGGAAAGAGAAAGGAGGGCACCCCATTGTAAAGGCAGTGATGTGGCTTTCTGTGGGTGCCAAAGCAGAGCGTCCCTGTCCCTTGAAGGAGGGCAGAAGGTCAGCGTCTGAGCCCACCATGCTAAGCCTCAGACCCTGTTTGGGGTAGCTGGGCAGCTTCTACCCAGAGCAGCTAAGACCAGGGGTGACCCTAGCTTCATTTCCTCCACCGTTCCTCCTTCTAGCCACCTAATGTAACTGATTTTCAATGATCTGTTAGGATAAGAATCTCTGGTGAGGATGCATTTTTTGTTCCTTGGGTAATGCATGATGCTTACCAATCATGTTACTGGGTGATAGTGTTGAGCTCAGATAAAACTCACAACAAAGTTCATCCGATGCAGCTTCCGTGACTCATGTGATCTCCACTGTCTGTGAAACAGGTTGGACATACAGGGACAGGCCATTCTCAGAATGAAGTTGCTGGATATGTTTCTTATTCATCTCTACCTAGAATTCTTGGAATCAGATGAATCCAAATGCTCTAGTAGGAAAGGGAAATATGGTTGATGGATGAGGACTTGGGAGTCAGGAAGACCCAACCGTCAGCTCTGGCCACTCTCAGGATTAAACGGCTTAATGTATATAAAATGCCTAACACAGTGCTTGGTGCATAATAGTTTCTCAGTAGATGTCTACTCTGCCAGTGCTTTTCATTCAGCATTTGGTGAATATGCAGTTCTTTTTTTTTTTTTTTTGAGACAGAGTCTCACTCTGTTCCCGGGCTAGAGTGCCGTGGCATCAGCCTAGCTCACAGCAACCTCAAACTCCAGGGCTCAAGCAATCCTCCTGCCTCAGCCTCCTGAGTAGCTGGAACTACAGGCACACGCCACCATGCCTGGATAATTTTATATATATATATATATATATATATATATGTATATATATATATTTAGTTGTCCAGATCATTTCTTTCTATTTTTTAGTAGAGACGGGGTCTCGCTCTTGCTCAGGCTGGTCTCGAACTCCTGACCTTGAGCGATCCACCCGCCTCGGCCTCCCAGAGTGCTAGGATTACAGACGTGAGCCACTGCGCCTGGCCAAATATGCAGTTCTTATGGTTTAAATGAATGAAACATCTCTTTAACAAATTCATTCAAGGTAAGCACTGATACTAATAATTCTCTATCCTTCTCTTATGTATTTCTAGAATCCTGTTACACCTGGGATTTAGGCGCTTTTAATCTGAAAAAAATACATATTCCTTGAGCACTCCAGAAGGATTTAAGAACCACCCTTCCCTGAACTAAAGCTGGATGTTGTGGGATTGCAGAATTAAGGTAAGGGATTTTCTCCTCCTGAGCCTTGTGGGACCAAACACATCTTTTGGAATTGATGGTCTCTTGCAACACAACTTGGGTTGTGGTTCTTGACTTCTCGGCATGTCTTCCTGTGCTGCTCCAAAGTGCTTGGGAAGCTGACTTCCCATGACCTCATCCTGACCTGGTTACCTGGTTCTCAGAGTTTGGTCCACTTGGTCATTGTGCCTAGAATGCTCTCCCTCTGTCCCTGGCAAAGGAGGAGCCCACAGTCTCTTAGGTGAAAACCCCATACACCACTCCTAGCAGAAGGCATAGGATGCTGCAGTTGTCTCCCTGAGATCTGTGGAGACTCGGGTGGGGAGAGGAGGAGAAGGAGAAGTAGGGGCTATGCAATCAGGTTATGCCTTTTGCAGCATCCAGAACATGAGCACTTCCTCCCTTCCCGGCTCAATCTGCACCTTTGCTTCCACCTCCTTGAATTGCATGCTCCAACCACAGCAAGCCTAAGTTTGCATGGGGTAAAGGGTGAGATATTAGGACCCAAGGCTTTAGGCAGACCTGGGATTTTCTGTTTTTGCTATTTGTCTCACCTTGGGCAAATCACCGAGCACCTCTAAGCCTCAGTTTCCTCATTTGTAAAATAGGGATTGTATTAGTGCCTACCTCATGAGGATGTTGTGTGTACTGAATGAACTAGTGGAGAAAAAGAGCTTAGCAATGCTGCGTGGCATGGAAGAGGAAATGCTCCAAAACGGAAAAGGTTTGTTTTGTTTCGTTTTGTTTTAATTCATTAGTTATGCCATTTAGAGTTCCTTCCATGTACTGGGCTATTTCAAAGTCTTTGGTTTGCTGTGCTCTCTGCCTTTTGCCCACCACCAATCAGCCTGGGAAAGGGCTGCGAGTCTGTGAGTCACCGCCTTGGTCATGCCCAGCCCCTCACGATTGCTCCCTCCTGCAGCGGGCAGTTGAAGACACAGCTCCATTGCACCATGGCTGCTGCATCGGGTTGAAATCTCTTTCATCCCCTCTCTGGCCCATCCATCGCTGGTGAGCTTATCTAGAGCTAGGACTGCCTTACATATCCCAAGACCCAGTGCAGAGCCTGCCCAGGGCTGAGCCTTGTATCGTAGATGTTGGAAGAACAAATGAGTGAATAATTCAAAGGGAGCGAACAAGGAGAGGGAAAAAGAGAGAAATAACTGAAAGAAGAAAGTTTTAAAGGTTCAGAGGAAAGAATGAGGTCAGTTGCGATTTTTTTTTTAAACAAGATGTTGGAAAGAATAAATAACACCATGAAAAGAAAACTGACATGATTCTTACCATGAATTTGAAAACTATGCAAGGGTGGGAAGGTGGATGAGAAAGTGTGGACTGGTGAGAACAGTTAGGGAAGTTGGAACTGAGGGGGCAGCAGAGAATGGTGCTCATGTTGTGCTACTTAGGTCATCTTTTCTTTTGCACCTTAAATTTTCCAAAGCGCATTTGCATTTCTAATCTGCTGTGGTGTTCAGCAGTCCTGTGGCACGCAGAGATGGAGAGCACAAGGCCTTGCCCTTCTGTCAAGGTCGGGGAACTGGCACGTGCATGGGATATTCCATACCCACCAGGCATAGGTGATGACTGGGGAGGGGCTCTTCTCCAGGCAGGGAGGCTTCCTGGAGAGGGTGCTGCCTCTTGTGCCTCTTGAAAGATGCATGTGAATCAGGCCTTCTAGGAGCTGAGCTGCTGATTAGCAATTAAGAAGCCTTTCCACCTTTTGGAGTTCGGCACCCTTGTGCACTCACATTTCCCAGTAATTTTCATTTCACTGTCAAATTTCTCATTTATAGACAGGCCTTCCTGTGGGAGTGCTGCCTGCCTCTTTTTGGTCCTCAAGGATTCAACCAGGCGTTGAGTTATGTTTTGGGAGCCCGTGATCTTGTTCCAGGCAGCCGGCTTTGGAGCAGCAGTGCATGTACAAATGCAACAGGCTTTTCTGTAGATCCCCACGCCCTGTCGCACCTGAAGGGCTGGAGCGAGCTGTTCCCATGTGGGGAAAAGGGCGGATGAGACCCCAGTCACTGGGGCGGAGAATCTGAAAGCCGGAAGCACCACCCCTCGAAGCTATGACTGTGACAGTGAGCAGTGATGCCTGCCTTCTGTGGACAAGGAGAGGCTCGGCAGGTCTTCCTGGGGGTGACAGGAGAGAATTTCTCTAGAATTCAGCTGTTGGGAGCAGGAGGACAGAGCCAGGGCACTGCTGGGATTCCAAAGCCCACAGTCCTGAGCATGTTTCAGGGCAGGGCTGCTCTGTGATGGGGCCCTGAGAAAAGCCGAAGCATTTGTGCTTGTGCATGAGGTTCTCCTTGTCCCAAAGGCACTTCTCTCACCCTGGGAGCCTGCCTGCCTGCAACTGCTTGGAAATCAGCTTGACTGGGCCGCACATCAATGGGATGGTGTCCACATCTTTCCCATCCGTGAGCCTGCACTGTTTGCACTGTCCCTACCCTGGGACAGAGTCAGACACTGGGACTCTACCTCGAGCTCCACTTCCTACTGCCTGTGTGACCTTGGGCAAGTCCTTTACAACTGTCCAAATTTCTCTCTCTCTCTTTTTAAAAATAACTTACTTTTGTTTTTAATTTTATTTATTTATTTATTTTTAGCCATAGGAGAATCTCATTTATGTTGCCAAGGCTGACCTTGAACTCTGGGTTCAAGCGACCTTCCTGCCTCAGCCTCCCAAGTAGCTGGAATCACAGGCATGTACCACCATGCCCAGCTAAACTTCTCTTTTCTCAGCTGCAAAATGGACCAGGACCCACTTGGGGTGGATGCGAGGATCATAGAACCTCTCCTGAGGATGGTCAATGAGTGGGAGCTCTTGCTATTTGCTGCTTCTTCCAGCTCCTCACCTGTCCAACTCCTGGCCTTCTCAGTATTGTTCTCTCTCGCCCCTGGCCCCTCCTTGGACATGCAGACAGGGTGGGCTCCTTCCCTTTTGACCCTCACCTTGCTCTTTTAGACTCCTCTGCTGGCCTCGCCTCCCCAGGGAGCATCTCTGGGCTCCCTGCCTGATCCTCCCATGCAGGCCTGCTGGGGCCTTTGGTGAGAAGGCACCAGACACCTTCTGCTTTCCCTTCTGTGGACACGAGCCAGCTCTGGTCTTTATCCACAAAGTACAGGTATCAAGGTTGCTTCCTGTATTCAGCGTCCACAGTATTTAAAAGAACTCCTGGCCCAATTGGGACTCTCCACTTGAAACATCTTTTCATAACACCTCTGTATTGGCCCATTTCTCTATTACTGTTTCTTGTGGTTTCATGTTGAGGTTTTTGGTGCATTGCATTTGACCTGGAGTTTATTTTTAGTAGTAAAGACAGAGTTCAATTAATGTCAAAACATGAGGGCAATTGCAGAGGAGGGATTCGTAAGTGTAGGGGAAAATGTGCCAAATTTTCTTCTGATCACATCTCTCACTGAGCATACACAGTCACACCCACAGACGTGGAGCTTCCTCCATCGTGCCTACGATGGACTGGGCCGAGGTGGGGAGCCATGGCTGGGCCAACCCCTGAAAATGAAAGCGTTTCTGGGTCTCTTTCAGTTCAGCTAATGCAGCAGCTGGCCGCACAGATGAACCACCACCGCAGTCATCACTACGGATGATAATTACTATGATTATCATTAGAGTAAAGGCCAGGCTTTGGGATATCCTGTTCTCACCCTCTCCCCAGCGGGCAGCATTCTCTTTCTGCCCTGGATTGTAAATGTGTTGAGGGGAGGGTCTGGGTCTTGTTCTCTGTCTAATGCCTGCTCTTGGCATCGTAACAAGCACGTAGGACCTGCTTGGGGAATGTTTTCTTAGGTTGACTGAATGTCAGGACACTGAGTTTAGGCTGCAAAGTCACAGTGACGTAGAAAGTGCTCTTCCTTCGAGGGCCCCCAGTCTGCCTTGAGAAACAAAGTGAGCACTGTCATCCGCACAGGACTTTACGGTTCAGAAAGCTCTTTCTCATCCTTTCTTTTATTGTGCGTGTATTTACTGAGAACCTGCGGTGCGCCACTGTGCAGGGCGCCTGGCATAAAGGAGAGAGAAGCCCCTGCTTCCGCTCTGAAGCAAATCCCAGGGAGCGAGGCCAGCGCCTTGGATTCGCAGACTTTATAGATGAAGGAACTGGGGACTTGGAGCAATTGTGTGGCTTGAGACTCCCTGCTAGTTGGTGGTGGCTCTCAAATTGGAACACTGATCTTCCGAATCCAGGCCCTTGACCTGTCCCACCCCCACCTGCTCTGCGGGCCCGTCTTCTGCATTGTCTAGGTGCTCCTCACCTCCTATATGTCTGTCTCTCCCTCTCTTCCTCTCGCCTCTCCTCTCTTTTCCTCTGCCTCCTTTTTCCCCTCTCTCAGCCTTGTTTCTTCTGAAGATGAGGATCTTCATCTCTACAGTGCCTTTTGTGGGAAGGGATCTGATGATATGGGGCTGTGTTTAGATCTTTCTGGGGGAGGGGGTGCTGTGGTCTGCTCAGCTTTCCTGGGAACAGAGGCTTGGGTCTCACTGAATGCACCTCCCCGACACCTCCTGTGGTGACTGACATGATGTAGCCACTGCCTCCCGCCCTCACATCCTCGTCCACTTTCCTGCTGTGAGCCAGGTGTTATGACAGGCCATGACGAGCCACCCACGTAGACAAACAATGTCTGTCTTTCTTTAAAGGCTTTAAAATATACTGAATGTATCAGTTGGGAGTCTCCAGAGACACAACCAATACAAGATGAAGATAGATCTATAGGTATGTCTATATCTGAGAGATTTATTGATTATAAGGTCTTGGCTCACACAACTGCAGAGCCTGAGAAGTCCCACGAGCTGCTGCCTGCAAGCTGGAGACCTAGGAAAGCTGATGGTGTAGCTAAAGGCCAGAGAACTGCAGAGGTGATGATATAGATTCTGGTCTGGGTCGGAAGGACTGAGAACCAGGAATGCTAAGTTCCATGTCCCAGCTCAAGCAATCAACCAGTGGTGGAATTCAACCTTC